CTGTTTATCTCATTATTGAAATGTAAGGATATATATTTTAAGACACCTTTGGAATGTCTCTCTTTTTATATTTTATAATAGACATTAATGTGGTTTGCACCGTATGACACATAATTCGGTATCAAATTATTGAGACCCAAAAAGGTGATTTCAAACTTATTCTAGTACGGGAGGTGTACTCTGGTCTTAGTCTTTGGAAGAAGAAGCTAGCTATTTTTAAAAGATTTTAAGTTGACTACTTTAATAATAAAGGTGGTGTACAAGTTGGCTTCCCTGGTAGCTCAGTCAGTAAAGAATCTGCCTTCAGTGCAGGAGAGTGGGGTTTGATCCCTTGGATGGGAATATTCACTGGAGAAGGAAATGACAACCCACTCCGGTATTCTTTCTCAGAAAATCCTATGGACAGAGGAGCCTGGAGGGCTGAAGTCCACGGGGATGCAAGAATTGGACATGACTTAGCAACTAACCCACCACTGTTCATGCGTGCTAGGTTGTTTGAGTCATGTCCAATTCTTTGCAATCCTATGGGCTGTAGCCCACTAGGCCCCTTTGTCCATGGGATTATCCAGGCAAGAATACTGGAGTGGGTTGCCATGCCCTTCTCCAGGGGGTCTTCCCGACCCAGGGATTGAACCCGCACTAGCGCCACCTGGGAAGACCCCACCACAAGTAGTTAATTGTGCATCTTTCTTCATCTAATTAGTATATTTGAATAGTGCAATAACTGTGATTATGCTGCTTTTGATATGGATTATAATATTAAGGGAAGCATTTCTTCAAGAGTTTAAGATAGAATTTCATTTCATATGTGAATAAGAATTGATAGGTTATAACTTTAACAGGGAGAAGGAAATGGCAACCCACTCCAGTGTTCTTGCCTGGAGAATCCGAGACGGGGGAGCCTGGTGGGCTGCCATCTATGATGTTGCACAGAGTCTGACACGACTGAAGTGACTTAGCAGCAGTAGCAACTTTAACAGGCATGCTCACTTACTTGAATGCATCTTGTATTATGCTCTTTAGTCTCAAGAATTCAAGTTGGCCCTATACAATGAATATGTCTTCCTATTCTTCTCCCCACCACACCTCTCAATATGCTATCCACTTTACACCTTTCCATCACTTTCCGCCACTTCCACAAAGCGAAAGTGAAATTTGCTCAGTTGAGTCCAACTCTTTGCAACCCCATGGACTATACAGTCTATGGAATTCTCCAGGCCAGAATACTGGAGTGGATAGCCTTTCCCTTTTCCAGGGGCTCTTCCCAACCCAGGGATCAAACCCAGGTCTTGCACATTGCAGGCGGATTCTTTACCAGCTGAGCCACCAGGGAAGCCCATCAGTGGTTTAAAACATAATTATTGCCTCTTAAACATAGAATTACCATATGACATAGCAATTCCACTCCTAGTAACCCAAGAGAAATGAAAACCTTTGCTCACATAAAAATCCATACACAATGGTTCAGTTCAGTTCAGTCTCTCAGTCATGTCCCACTCTTTGCGACCCCATGAACCGTAGCACTCCAGGCCTCCCTGTCCATCACCAGCTCCCGGAGTTTACCCAAACTCATGTCCATAGAGTTGGTGATGCCATCCAACCATCTTGTCCTCTGTCTCCCCCTTCTCCTCCTGCCATCAATCTTTCCCAGCATCAGAGTCTTTTCAAATGAGTGAGCTCTTTGCATCAGGTGGCCAAAGTATTGGAGTTTTAGCTTCAACATCAGACCTTCCAGTGAATATTCAGGACTGATTTCCTTTAGGATGGACTGGTTGGATCTTCTTGCAGTCCAAGGGACTCTCAAGAGTCTTCTCTAACACCACAGTTCAAAAGCATCAATTCTTTGGCACTCAGCTTTCTTTATAGTCAAACTCTCACATCCATACGTAACTACTGGAAAAACCATAGCCTTGACTAGATGGACCTTTGTTGACAAAGTAATGTCTCTGCATTTTAATATGCTGTCTAGGTTGGTCATAACTTTCCTTCCAAGGAGTAAGCGTCTTTTAATTTCATGGCTGCAGTCACCATCTGCAGTGATTTTGGAGACCAAAAAAATAAAGTCAGCCACTGTTTCCATTGTTTCCCCATCTGTTTGCCATGAAGTGATGGGACCAGATGCCATGATCTTAGTTTTCTGAATGTTGAACTCTAAAAGCCAACTTTTTCACTCTCCTCTTTAACTTTCATCAAGAGGCTCTTTAGTTCTTCACTTTCTGCCATAAGGGTGGTGTCATCTGCATATCTGAGGTTATTGATATTTCTCCTGGCAATCTTAATTCCAGCTTGTGCTTCATCCAGACCAGTGTTTCTCATGATGTACTCTGCATATAAATTAAATAACTACAGTGACAATATACAGCCTTGACATACTACTTTTCCTATTTGGAACCAGTGTGTTGTTCCATGTCCAGTTCTAACTGTTGCTTCCTGACCTGCATGCAGGTTTCTCAAGAGGCAGGTCAGGTGGTCTGGTATCCCCATCTCTTTAAGAATTTTCCACAGTTTATTGTGATCCACACAGTCAAAGGCTTTGGCATAGTCAATAATGTTTCAGATGTTTTTCTGGAACTCTTGCTTTTTCGATGATCCAGTGGATGTTGGCAATTTGATCTCTGGTTCCTCTGCCTTTTCTAAAACCAGCTTGAACATCTGGAAGTTCACGGTTCACGTATCACTGAAGCCTGGCTTGGAGCATTTTGAGCATTACTTTACTAGTGTGTGAGAGGAGTTCAACTGTGTGGTAGTTTGAGCATTCTTTGGCATTGCCTTTCTTTGGGATTGGAATGAAAAGTGACCTTTTCCAGTCCTGTGGCCACTGCTGAGTTTTCTAAATTTGCTGACATACTGAGTGTAGCACTTTCACAGCATCAATGTTTATTGTAGTACTATTCACAGTAGCCACAAGGTGAAGACCAAATATCCATCAAATGGTGAATGGACAAATAAATGTGGTCTATCCATATAATGGGATATTATTTATACTATTATTTATATTTATAATATTATTTATATTATACAATGGAATATTATTTTGTATAATATTGTTCCACAAAAAGAATGGTGTCCTGATACATGCTACAACATGGATATATGCCAAGTGAATTAAACCAGTCACAAAAGACCATATATTAAATGATTCTGTTTGTATCAAATATCTGGAATGGGCAAATCTATAGAGACAGAAAGTATATTAGTGGTTGCTTAGAGCTGAGGGAGATTGAGAATGGAGAGGGTGATAACTAAAGAGTATGGTGTTTCTTTTTTTTTAAATTTATTGAAGTATAGTTAATTTACATTGTTGTGTTAATTTCTACTGTAGAGCAAAGTGATTTCATTATATGTATATATACATTCTTCTTCATATTCTTTTCCATTATGATTTATCACAGGATATTAAATATATTTACCTGTGCTAAATGGAACTTTGTTGTTTATCCATTCTCTCTGTAATCTTTTGCATCTGCTGATCTCAAACTCTCAATTCATCCCTCTCCCACCTCCCTTTCCCTGGCTTCCATAAGTCTGTTCTCTGTGTCTGTGAGTCTGTTTCTGTTTCATAAAAGTTCATTTGTGTCATATTTTAGACTCCACATACAAGTGATATCATATGATATTTGTCTTTCTAACTTAGTTCATTAAGTATGATCATCTCTAGGCCCATCCATGTTGCTACATTATTTCATTCTTTCTTATGGCTGAGTAGTATTCCATTATTTTTATATATATATATATATATATTATATATATACACAACATCTTTATCCATTCATCTGTCAGTGGACATTTAGATTGGCTATTGTACATATTGCCACAATGAACATTGAGGTCTGTGAATCTTCAAATTATAGTTTACTCCAGATATATGCCCAGGAGCAGGATTGCCAGATCATATAGTAACTCTATTTTTAGTTTCTTGAGGAATCTCTTACTGTTTTCTGTAGTGGCTACACTAATATACATTTGGGTTTCCTTTTGAAGTGATGATAATATTCTGAAATTGTGGTAATGGTTGCACATATCTGTTAATGTACTAAAAAGTATTGAATTGTGTACTTTAAGTGGGTGAACTGTAAAGTATGTAAATTATATCTCAATAAAGCTGTTATTAAAAGCTAAATTAAAAAATAATACCTCCTATCCATATGCCTGTATGTATCTGTACCTATAGTAAAGCACATAGTCTGATTATAATTAATTTAAGGAATCTGTCTTTCTTGGGAATTCCCTGGTGGTCCATTGGTTGGGAATCTGTGCTTTCAACTGCCAAGGGGCCAGATTTGATCCCAGGTTGGGGAACAAAGATCCCAGAAGCTGTGTAGCACGCCCCCCGCCCCCGCCCCAACCAAAAAAAATCTGTGTGTCTCAATACATTAGGAAGCTCCAGAGAATAGTGTCTTGGCATTCCCTAACAATCATAGTGCTTTGCCCTGTGTTTAAGAATTGAACTTCTTAACAATTGAATTCCTTCACTGTAAAAGGGCAACCCACTCCAGTATCTTGCCTGGAGAATTCCATGGACAGAGGAGCTTGGCAGGCCATAGTCCATGGGGTTACAGAGTGTTGGACACAACTGAGTGACTAACACACACACATACAGTAAAAGAGAAACAGAAAAAAATGTTGCCACAACATGTTGTTCCAAAATTGTGTTTTATAATTTTTTACATTTATTCTTTTTTGGAAAAATAAATAATTTTCTCACACATTATTTCTTCAGCTTAGTTTCCATTTTGTATTTAAAGTTGCACATAAGTCATTTATTACCTTATTTTTACCTTTAGGCATATTCTGATCTTTGGGATTTGCATATATAGAAGCATTTTATACACATTATCAGTAAGACCTTCTTGTCATTTCAACTAGGTTAATGTTTGTTTTTTAAATCTAGTTAACTTTATTAAATTTGAATCTACACTTTTGTGGATGTTTGAATTTAACATAATTTTCTTTTTGTGTGTGTGTGGTGTGTCGTCTATGTGTGTATGTTATTTCTCTAGTATTTACTAGAGATGAAAAGCCTCATTTTACCTCCAGAACACATTCTGAAGCGGGGTGACAGTGAAGCAGTTGCCTACGCGTTCTTTCACCTTCAGCACTGGAAGAGGATAGAAGGCGCTCTTAACCTGCTGCAGTGCACGTGGGAAGGCAGTGAGTACTCTCTTCCAGATGCAGTGCTAGTCTTCCTGACTATTCATTGCATTCACAGGCAGTCTTTTTTTAATGAGATTATCTGGGTTTCCTTAAGGATTTATTGTTCAGATCGGTTTGAAAGTGAACTCCATGGTGTTTATTGGTTTATTGGTAGAAGAAATGTGTAATGTGCTTATATTAAAACCACATTTAGGAAAAGCAGAATGAAAAACTGTTTGGGTATTCTGCTGTATGTTCATGTGAATTAAATATTTATAAGGAAAGAAAATGAAAATTTATATCCCTTCATTTATTTTTTAATGTGGCTTGCTATTCTAATATTTTTTAAATTGGACTTCTTTTGGTTTTGTTTTGAGATGTGTACAGTATGAAACTTTTTTCATTACTGAAATCAACTTAGTTCTTTAAAAAAATTTTTTTTAAATATTTATTTTTTAAAAATGTATATGATGACTGTGCCAGGTCTTAGTTGTGGCATGTAGAATCTAGTTCCCTGACCAGGGATTGAACCCATGCCCCCTGCATTGAGAGCTTTGAGTCTTAGCTACTGAACCAGCAGGGAAATCCCCCCCAGATTTTTTAATTGTGGTAAAATGTATATAACATAAAAGCATTTTTTTTTCCATTTATTTTTATTAGTTGGAGGCTAATTACTTTACATCATTGCAGTGGTTTTTGTCATACATTGAAATGAATTAGCCATGGATTTACATGTATTCCCCATCCCGGTCCCCTCTCCCACCTCCCTTTCCACCCGATCCCTCTGGGTCTTCCCAGTGCACCAGGCCTGAGCACTTGTCTCATGCACCCAACCTGGGCTGGTGATCTGTTTCACCCTAGATAATATACATGTTTCGATGCTGCTCTCTTGAAACATCCCACCCTCACCTTCTCCCAGAGTCCACAAGTCTGTTCTATACAGCTGAGTCTCTTTTTCTGTTTTGCATATAGGGTTATTGTTACCATCTTTCTAAATTCCATATATATGTGTTAGTATACTGTAATGGTCTTTATCTTTCTGGCTTACTTCGCTCTGTATAATGGGCTCCAGTTTCATCCATCTCATTAGAACTGATTCAAATGAATTCTTCTTAATGGCTGAGTAATATTCCATGGTGTATATGTACCACAGTTTCCTCATCCATTCGTCTGCTGATGGGCATCTAGGTTGCTTCCATGTCCTGGCTATTATAAACAGTGCTGCGATGAACATTGGGGTGCACGTGTCTCTTTCAGATCTGGTTTCCTTGGTGTGTATGCCCAGAAGTGGGATTGCTGGGTCATATGGCAGTTCTATTTCCAGCTTTTTAAGAAATCTCCACACTGTTTTCCATAGTGGCTGTACTAGTTTGCATTCCCACCAACAGTGTAAGAGGGTTCCCTTTTCTCCACACCCTCTCCAGCATTTATTGCTTGTAGACTTTTGGATAGCCGCCATCCTGACTGGTGTATAATGGTACCTCATTGTGGTTTTGATTTGGATTAAAGATCTAAATGTAAGACCAGAAACTATAAAACTCCTAGAGGAGAACATAGGCAAAACACTCTCCGACATAAATCACAGCAGGATCCTCTATGACCCACATCCCAGAATTTTAGAAATAAAAGCAAAAATAAACAAATGGGACCTAATGAAACTTAAAACCTTTTGCACAACAAAGGAAACTATAAGCAAGGTGAAAAGACAGCCCTCAGATTGGGAGAAAATAATAGCAAACGAAGCAACAGACAAAGGATTAATCTCAAAACATAAAAGCATTTTAAATGTTTTAAAATGCTCAGTTCTGTGAAATACATATACATTGTTGTGCAACCATCACCATCATCCATCCTGAGTGTTTTCATCACCTCAAACTGAAATTCTGTACCAATTGAAATATAACTCCTCATTCTTTCCTCCTTCCCAGCCCCCTGGTAACCATTCTATTTTTTGTCTCTATGAATTTGACTACTCTAGGTGTCTCATATAAGTGAAATCATACATTTGTGCTTTTATATGTGGCTTATTTCATTTACCATATTGTTGAAGTATGTGTAAGAGTTCTTTTCTTTTTAAGGATGAATAATATTCCATTGTAAGTATATACAAAGTTTTGTTTATCCATTCATCCATCAGTGGACATTTAGGCTGTTTCCACCTTTTGGCTATTGTGGATAATGCTGCTATGAACATCAGTGCATAAATACCTGTTTAAGTTTTTGCTTTCAGTTCTTTTCAGTGTACTCCTAGAAGTGGAATTGCTAGATCATATAATTTTGTGTTTAATTGTTTGAGGAACAACTGTACTGTTTTCTATAGCAGCTGAACCATTTTACATTCCACTTGCAATGCACAGGGGTTTCACTTTCTTTATATCCTTGCCAATACTTGTTATTTTATGGTTTTTGGTAATAGCACCCTAATGGGTATGAAATAGTACCTCATTTTGATTTGCATTTCCCTAATAATTAATAATTTTGAACATATTTTATGTGTTAATTGGCCATTTGTATATTTCTTTGGAAAATTGAATTATTTTCCACTAACTACCGGATCTCTCATTTGTAACTTCTTAAAATTAGCTATAGATGAAAATTTAAAAATAAATTCAGTGCACATTCTAAATAACAACTAAAACTTGTTAACCTCCTCAGTTCTCAAACGTTGCACTGAGGTACTTTTGGATATTTTGGTAAATTCACAACAGTGCCATGAGATTTTAAATTTTTCATAGAAATGCAGCAGTACACCATTCAAACTGTAGCTCTAGATAGTTAAAGATTTCAACAGTATTCTCTGTTTTCTTTCAGTGTTGTCACAGCTTTGCAAAGCTGGATTTTTGTTAGTTGTATGATTAAAGGAAGTATCACACAAAACTCAGTGTAGAACAGGAAATGAGGATGGTATTATTCAAAGTGATTCTGAGGTTTGAGAAATTGTGTGCTGTCCAACAGGCTCATATATCCCATTAGGGAGAAATGATGGTTATTTAAAAATGAAATAACTTTTTTCCTTTAATTTATGTGTATTTTTTTCAACTTGCTAAGCTGTTAGAACAAAAACTTTTGAAATTGATCAGAACCACTACTTAATAAGTGGAATTGTTAAATACTTCTTAAAGCGTTGGGGCATCATAGCAAATAACTGAGACATGAAGGGCACCATGTGTCCTTGAATCAAGAAAATTTGGGAACCTCTGTATAAACTTTTGCTGGGCGATAGGCACTGTGCTTGATACTGACAATATACAGATTCGTGAAAGCGGAACTACTAAAACTGAGGAGTTCGATGTTTTGGGATACTTAGATTTTCTTTTGTTTTTTTCTCCAGTAGTTTGCAAGCTTCTCAAAACTACATAGTCTATCTTATTCACTTTGTATGTGTCGTCAATGCCTAGCCTGCTTGGCACATGGGAAGTTCTCCATAAGTAGATGATTGATTCTGTGTTTCATGAATACATCTTAATGAATGATTTCCTAGTGTCACTGATTTAATTTGCTCTGTGACTTTGGAAAAGTTGCTGTATTTTATTGCAGCAAAACAAAAATCTGTATTTTGACAAAAGTTCCTAGATCCAAGCACTAAAGGAAAAACAAAAACCTTATAATTTTGATAGTTGAATAGATCAATAAAGATTTCTTCTTTAAGAAGTCTGTAGGAATGGATGATAATCTAGATAAAGGATGCATAAACTTTTTCTGTAAAGGACCAGTTGGTAAATATTTAGTCTTTGTGGGCCATAGTCTTTGTCACAATTACCCAACTCTTACAGCATGAAAGCAGCCTTTTATAATATATAATATATAAATGAGAAGACATGGCTATATTCTAATATAATTTTATTTACAAAAACAGATAGTGGTCCAGATTGACCAAAGCCGACCCCATTAGATACTTAATTTAGGTACTTTGGTGACCCCTGATCTAAATTAAGCTCTGCTTACAGAAAACTTTGCTAACAGCTCAAATATGAAGTTAGGATCCATTGAAAACTCTTAGGTTGACAGAAGTTATAACTACAACAGTTGTGTGATTTCCCTAAGAAGTGGAATTCTCATGTGGAGAGTTAAGTATTTTATGTTTTTAATGAGGAGACTGAGGCAAGAAGGACACAGCCAGTCTTATCTTGCACTACTCCCTTTAGTTTTATTTCAGTTAGAACATTCACTATTCTCTAAATAAATTTTATTCTTCTTATTTGTTCCTCTGCATATTTTGTTTCTTTCATGTAAAATGCGTCTCTAAAAAAGAAAACAAAATGCTGTGTGGGGGACTTCCCTGGTGGTCCAGTGTCTAAGACTCCATGCTCCCAATGCCCGGGGCCCAGGTTCCACCTGTAGTCCAGGAACTAGATTCCACATGCCGCTAAAAAAAAAAAAGGTCCCCCATGCTGCCTTGAAGATTGAAGATCCCATATGCTGCAGTTAAGACCGGGCACAACTGACCAAATATTTTTTTAAAATAAATTTTTAAAATGCTGTGAGACATTTTAATAAAAATACATCGCCAAAATAGCTTTGATTGTAGTAGATGATGAAAGTGAGATTGAATTGCATGTCAACAGATGTATATTTTTTTCCCTCAGCTTTTAGAATGATTCCATACCCATTAGAGAAAGGCCATCTATTTTATCCTTATCCCAGCTGCACAGAGACTGCTGATAGAGAGCTATTACCTCGTAAGTAAATATTCACGTTTTTCTAAACTTAAAATTAGTTGTGAGATTATTTTTCATAGTATTCTCCCATTTTAAAAGTACCTCTGGTTGAAGTTCAGGATACTATTTAAATACTGTTTTAGGCAGTTCTTAGATATAGTTGCATTATTTAGTTCATTTTTTATATTTTTGTGGTTAAAACCTTGTACTTGGTGCAATGAAGGACACACAGATGAAAGTTTTTGTTTTTCTTTTCTTACAAGCAGTCATCTTAAAGAAGAAATAACACCAATCCTTCACAAACTTTTCAGCAAATGAAGAAGGAGCACTCTCCAGCTCATTCTGTGAGACTAACATTATCCTGACAACACAGTCAGACGAAACATTACAAGAAAGCTATAGAACAATATCTCTCATGAACATAGACACAAATGTCTTCAACAACATGTTAGCAAACCGAATCCACCAACATGTAAAAAGGATTATGCTCCATGACCAATTGGGATTTACCTCACAAAGCGAGGTTGCTTTAACATCTGAAAGTGTAAAGGACAATAGATGGAGAATAGCATTTGACAAAAATGCTATACCCATTCATGATAAAAATTCTGAACAAACTGGGAATAAAAGGGAACTTCCTCAACCTGATAAAGAGCATCTACAAAAAACCCACAGTTAACATCATACTTAATGGTGAAAGATTGAATGCTTTCCCCCTAAGATCAGGAACAAGACAAGAATGTCTGCACTCTTCTCTTCAGCATTGTACTAAAGGTTCTAGTTAATGCCATCAAGCAAGAAAAAGAAATAAAAAGCATTCATGTTTGAAAGAAAGAAGAAAAACTGTTTTTATTCACAGATGACATAATCTTCATGTCCTACGAATTCCATAAAAATATTATTAGAACTAATAAACTAGTTCAGCAAGGTTGCAGGATATAATATTGATATATAAATATATAACTCAGTCATATTTATATACCAGCAATGAATAATCCAAAATGTAAACTAGAAAACAGACCCAATGAGAATAGCATCAAAGAGAACAAACAATTTAGGAATAAATTAAAAGAAGTATGAGATTTTTAAAATCCACTAAATACTGCTTAGAAGAATTAAAGAAAATCTAAATAAATAAAAAGAGATAGTTCATGTTTATGGATTGGAAGCCCCAATAATATTTTTATGACAATTCTCTTCTAATTGATCTATTAATTCAATACAATTCTTACAAATTGATAAGCTGATCCCAAAATGTACATGGCATGTTAAAGGACCCAGAACAGTCAAAATTATCTTTATAAAGTAGAGTGAAATTGGAGGGACTGTACTTCCCAATTAAAAAAAAAAACAAAAAACAGTCCAAGAGTCAAGAGGAGAACCAGAAATACATAGGGTTATGACTGCTGAAAGTGTTTTTGTCCAGTTCCTGCTTTTAGGAAGCTAAACTTTTGAAAGAATAGTCTGTGCTTTTTGTCTCAGCTGCCTTATCATCCACTCACTCTTTTTCTCTATGAGCTGGTAAATTTGTCTAATTATCCTTTTTATGACTTAACTGATACATAAGGATGCTGACAGTTATAAACACTAGTTTCCTCTTATAAATCTATACCACAGTTTTTACAGTTCTGGGTCCGTTAGAACTAAAGTCTAGGAAGGAAAGTTGCAGTTTTACAGCCATCAGACTTAAGAACTGAAAAGTTCAAACAGATAGATAAAAACTTAGGAGAGCTTATGGAAGTTGAGTATGCTGATATTTTTCTCCCACAATTTTTATTTTTGAGTATGTTGCATATGTGACATGTCAACCATACACACACATCCATGTGTGTGTTATATGTTTAAATATTTTATTATGTAATCTATTTAACATATACATACATTGCCTTTATATTTTATATCTCTACATACATGGGGTTAAGATATGTTTGCAAGTTATATATAATATGTATATTATTAAATAAATGTTTTATAAGTAGTAAATATTGTAAGCCCTCTTTGGGTATAAGAGAGCCACTTCAGGTTAACTTAAAAATAAAGAGAATTTGTTGGAAGAAGGCTGAGTTCTCTCAAAGAACACAAAGGCAACAATTATAATTGCACCATGGAAGAGACCAGAACCAGAAGGCTATCAGGATTTCCAGGAGTCAGTTTTCTGTGTATCTCTGTCTCTGACTGCCTTTTTCAGTCTCTCCTATTCTCACTTTTCCCTTTCATTCCCCACCTCCATCTTTTCTTTATATGAGCTTTCACTTCTGCTTTTCTCAGTGTATCTGCATTATTTTTATCTTTCTCTTTGCAGTTTGGCTCTCCCTTTCTTAGACACTCATATAGCCAGACTTGATACCCCTGTGCAGCTCTGAATTTACATGTCATCGATTCATGAGGATAATATAGAATGAAGAATATCTCAGTCCTGCTTCTAAAACTTCTGGGAGAGTAAATCAGATTTACCCAGGTGTTCATCCCTAATCCAATCTGCTGTGGCCTAGCAGCAGGACTACAGGATCAGGTCATGTAAACAAAATTACCAAAATATCTCTTTCCCTCTACATCACAAAACTGACTTAGGGGTCATTATTTTCTAGGAGTGAATGAGATCACTAAGAGAAACTGTATAGAGTGTGAGATGTAAATTAAGGGTGAACCATGATGAAAATTTCTAAGGAATGGGTGGCCGATAAGGAGTCAGAAGATTCAGTGAAAGAATGGTCTGAGACAGGACAAGAACCAGAACTAGATATCCTAGAAACTAAAAGGAGAAAAAAAATTCCAAGTGAGGAGGAGTATCCAAGGTATTAAGTAAGGTAATTACTGAGAAGAATCCATTGACTTTGGCAATTAGAAGGTCATTAGTGTTAGAAATATTTTCTTTCCTCAGGAGAGGGTGATGATAGTAGGTGTTGTTTTTCTATTTTAATGGGAACAAGGATATTTAAGGCAAAGGAATGAATCTTTAATTGTGGAACATCAGTATGCAAGAGTGTATTACATTAGGCTAATACATTTAACCTAAAATAATGCCCCCCAAATCATTACAGAGGTTGCCTGATAATATAAGGCAAGCTTTCATAGTAATGTGAATAAAATCATCACGTTATTATTTTGTATTGTCAGAGCCATAGCCTTTAAGAACAGAGACTTTATGTTTTGGCAGGACTTTGTTATTTCTAGGGGTCTACTCATTTGCAAATTCTAGGAGCTGTGAGAGGAGGGATATTCTGGGGGGTTTAGTTTGATTATATTGTATATTCTTAGAGTATTTTTTCTGTCTTTATGATAAAATGAACAAATTTTTATTAATGTGGAGCTTTAATACCCAAGAGTACTTAAGGTTTTTTGCTTTCAATTCTCCTTCAACCTTGATATGACTTAAGGCATTCTGGAATTTGCTTATGAACCTCATAAGTTCAGACTTGAACTATTCCCTTAGTTCACATAGCTGTTTAGTTGTCTTTTATGCCTCCTGATAAATTTTCTCTACAAGCCAGTGATGAAATTTGAACTTTACTTCTAAGGGAGTGTTTCTGTACTAGTCATCCATTATTTTGATATATTAGCCAAACATTGACTAACAAATGAATCTACAGAAAGCAATCCAAAAAGAAACAATTGGATCTCTCCTACAGTATAAACATTTCTTATTTTAGAAAATTATCCTATTAACACTATACAGTTTTCTACCTCATAAAGTAGGAATAATACTATCTATCTCCTAGGATTATTGAAAAAAATAATATAAATAAAAGCACTTTGTAAACCACAAAATGCTATAGTTTAATTAATATTATTAATTTTGCTGTCTTACACAAAAACAACTATAGTAACATTGGCATATATAAGTATTTGTTCCCTATCTTTGCAAATACCATGGTTTTTATCTTTTGATTTGCTAGAAGAAGTTGTCCTCTCATGGCTGAGGGACAGAGCAAAGGGGACTGATTTTTTTGGGGTGCTGAAAGCACAGTGTTGTTCACAGCTTCTAATGTTTCTAACTTTAAAAAATTTCAGATTTGGTGTGCTTTTACTTTAAACATGACACAAGGCTCTGGGAATTTTCTGCAGTTTTAATGAGTTTGCTTTTTGGTATGTACTTTCTAAAGATAGTATATAATACATAAAAAATATCCTGTCTACTGAAGGAAACTTAGGTGTAATCTTCTCTGTGAATCATTATGTTTTAAAACATTAAATTTATAGCTGAACTTGATTCAGCACTGAATTAGTCATTCCTTACCTATTCAGGATATTACATCAGGAATTCTTAGGTCTATGTCCAACCCTGTGAGCAGCCAACTGAAGTCCCAGAATAGCTCTCAGTTTAACAGACATTTATTGAGCACCTACTGTGTACCAATCATTGTAATAGGCTCCTGTCATCATTGTTATTCAAGTAGTTTCACATTTCAAATAAGAAAAATACTTGAATACTATTGGTAATTAGATATCTAATCACTAGAAAAATAATACCTGAGTAAATGTGTAAATGTAAAAATAAGACAATAGACTCCATTTATGTTCAGAATCTAGGACTTTGATGTTCTGGTTAGATTTTTACAGTGCTTAATGAAATGCCACATATAGGACACTTATTAATAAGTGGGTAAAATTATTAACTGATTGTTCTAGGAAATCTCCAACCACATGTCTATTTCTTTATCTCTGTACTCATGTCTGAGCTCCCCAAGATCAAAAATTAAAACAACACCTTTATAAAGTGCTTACAGTGTTCATCATAACAACTCCATGGCAACTGCTAGAGGGTTTAGCAACTTATTCAAGATCACACAGCTAGTAAGTGACAAAGCTCTTTTTCAAAACCACCTCAGCATGACTACAATTGCTGCTCTTTCCCACAGTGCCATCCTTTTCCCAGTTCCCAACAGTCATCTAACTATGTAGATGTGCTGTTGATGCTATAAATAATGGATAACTTCTTTCTACCTTGCTTGGCCAGAGACTTCATGTTCTTTTTTTTTTTTTTTCCTTTTTAGTTTTTAGAAATGGATTTCACTTGAAAATATTAAAACTGGCTTACACTATATTCTGAAATAACATCTATTTCTATCTTTTCTCTCTTGCAGCGTTTCATCATGTTTCTGTTTACCCAAAGAAGGAGATTCCTTTTTTCATCCATTTCACAGCAGGACTATGTTCTTCTACAGCAGTGATAGCTTTGCTTACACACCAGTTTCCTGAGATCATGGGTGTTTTTGCTAAAGCTGTAAGTATGATCTCAAGGACTTGTGTAGAATATTTGTAAAACACACAAGAAACCATCTCTGATCTGTTTGTGCTAAACCAGTTGAGCAGTGGAAGATATTTGTTATAAAGTAAATTACAGGAATTGATTTGTAAAGTTGCTGCCATAAATATGTCAAACCTAAGTTTTTGGTGATTTGAGCTATATTTTTGTTGCTTAGAAGTTTTCAAAATACAATGTCATAAATTATAAAGCTGGTCTTTGTGGATCACTTTTGGTGGTAAACACAACCCTTGTTACTAGTTAAAGAATAATCCAGCCCTTTTAAATGCATTTTCTTTGGCATTTAAAAAAAAATTCCTTGTTTTGTACAAAAGCCTTTTGGTTTTTCCATTTAAATGAAATCATTAATTCTAAGGATTTGCTGAATGTTATATTCAAGAGTGCAGCTAGGATAGGGAATAAGTAGGTAAGATAGGACAGTTGAGACATTTGTCCTGGGTTCAGAATGTGCCCCTTCACTCAGAAGTCCTCATTATTATTATATGTGCATATTCTTATTGATCTTCCCAACCTTGGGTGTAGAACCATCTTCAGACCTTTATTTTCCTTTTTACCCTTTAGTTTTGAACTTCTTCCCCATTTCCTGTCCCAGGTCCAGAAAGTACTTGAGGACTGATTTTAAAGAGTATCTTGTGATTATTAATTTTTCTACATAAACCTATTAATTAATGTCACTGACTCAAAGCAAAATTACCAAAGAGAAGTCCCTTTTAAGTCTCTGAGCCTAATAAAAAAGACATGTCTTGTACATCTTTGCATTTTTACCAAGTAATGAGTTCAAATCCAAAAAGAAAATGTTAATTCATTATACTCCCAAATAGAAAAGCACTGAGAACCATAGAATTATTAGCCTTTATTTGGTAATGCAGTTTCTTTATTTTTCTCTATGTGCCTCCATTATAACTCCCTGTGTCCTCACACTTTCTTTTCCTGCCTTAAGAATAGTTTATTTTGTGCCTTAAAGATTAGCTGGTTTTCTTCTGGCACCAGTAGTGAGAGCACTGGTTTCTCTTTTTCCCTGAAGGTCAACTATTATAATGTGTTAAGTTGCCACTGGCTGTAGGCCTAAGAGTTTGAGACTCCAGTTGATTCTGGGTCCGGCTGCAAGAAGGATGACTTTTTACTGCTGCTCAGGGAGTATAGACATTCGGGTTGGAAGCTGACTCTTCTGCTTCCTCTCAGTATAAAAAGAAAGCTTACTAAGATAAAAAAATAAAAAAGAAAGAAAGAAAGCTTACTGATCCCACCATAACTCTGTTGCTTGCAGTGGTGCTGATTGGCAAGTGTGTGTCTCAAACTGAAATGACGTCACTGTGTAATCTGGCATGGAAAAAAATGGACTAAACAGAGAATCCTGTCCATTTAACAAGCAGAAAAAAATACACCGCTGTGTATTTGAGATCATAGAAAAGCAGTGGGAGAGATGGTCTCTCAGGGCAGTGGGAAGGAAGTAAAATAGAGAGAGGAGGAAGGTCTAGAATCTGGAGTAGAGAGATAGTAATTGTTAGCAGTGTCCTTCCATGAGGTACTGGCTAAAGTTAATGTGGAGTGCACTCACTGTCTGCTGTACCCATGTGTTAGTATATCATGTCTGCCTTTACCTAAGCGATCTCTGATGCACCAAAAGAGCCTTTAGGATTACATAACACAAGCTCCTAGCAGTGTCTGAGAATAAATAATTATTCATTTGAAAGTTGAAGCTTCTTCTTTAGGTCAAAAGTTATTAATTTACTGTGATTCTAGTTGATGAACAATAAACAGACATTTGTTTACTATCTTTTGGTATGTGTTGCTGGTATGTAGTGTTTAAAATGTGCCTGACAGCAAACTTCTACAGCTAGATTTTATCCCTATGGCCTTTACATGTACAGTTTAAATTCCTAAAAGTTAAGTATTTACTGAAAGTACCTGCAAATCAATATTTGGTATGCAGCAGTTCCAAGGGCTGTTTCCATTTAAGAATTAATGGGAAATGAAAGCAATATAGGCAGACTCCAGTTTATAAACTCAATAAACAATTACCCTAGTAGACAGACAGCAAGAGAACTAAAGGCTCACATGCTTCTTACCACTTAATATTGTGTGGTCTCTGCCCCAGGAGCATTACCATCACCCAGGACATTGTTAGAAGCAAGATCCCCAGAGGATTCTATATACATTTAAAGCTTAAGAAGCCCTTGCTCTACTCTACCCCCAGTAGAGGAATTTATAATTCCTGGATGGTGCCACCATATCAAGGTGGAGAAGGGACAAGATTGTAGAGTCATTATGAGCAGAGGCTCTGGAGCCAGACTATTTTGCTTTGGATTTCAGCTGTGACACTTACTGGCTGTGCAACCTTGGGTAAGTTGCTTAACCTTCCCCACCCCCCAGTTGTAAAATGAGAATAGTACTACCTCTTGGATTTTTGTGAGGGCTAAATGAGTTTAAAATTTATCAAGAGTGTCTGCCCACAGTAAAAAGTAGGTGTTAGCTGTTATTATCATCATTGTCATCATCATCACCAAAGTGCAGCTGTAGTGAGAAACCCTACCCTCTTCATGTTTGGAAGAGCTATGTCCTACTAATAAACCAAAAATGCATTTTTCCATAAAAATAGTAGTAGAAATGGCTGTTAGGTATCATTTAATCAATACTTTTAGTACTATACTTCTGGTCCATTATGTGCACCAGAAAGTGAAGAAATGTTTCAAATTCTAGGCACTAGCAAACTGCCTTATAGAGCAGCACCCATTGGTAAGTTGCAAACTGCATGTGTTAAAAATTTTTAGTTAAGTCAGATATTTGATAGCCAAGTACAATTAAATGTAGAAATCAATGAAGAATCTTTGAAACATATTTATTCTAATATTAAGTAAGGCAGAGAGGTTTAAGAAAATTTCCTAGTTCCTTCCATTGTTGCCATTGTCTCTTCTTCATCTAATAACTTCTTGTATTATTTCACATGATAGAGGAAATTGTCTGAATTTGTTAAAATGCACTTGTTACAAAGATTGCTTTTTCGTGAAGCAAGGTGCTAGGGATTAGTAATTTGTAGTAATCCTCACTGGACATCAGATTTACATAAATGGAAGGGAACAAACTAGAATGGCTAGTGTTTTAGTGCCCCTTCTTTTGCATGATAAAAAGCTATGGAAAAAGATTTCATCTTCAGCACATTAGGACTTTTTCTCCTGATTTTTCTCCTGGCTGAGATGAAAACTTAGCCTGACAGTAGACATAGAGCAATGGGAAGAAAAATTGCATAAATCCCTGGAGATGTGGAATGTGCTGATATCAGAGCTGATAGTCTCTTAAGGCCAGAATTCCTGAAAAAGGAAAAATTGCTTTTAAGTGGTAGGTCATTTTCTCACCTGCTTTGAAGCCTGCTGGGTTAAATATGAGAGTTCAAAGTAAGGGTAGCCAGCAAACCAATGAACTGGAATCTGATTCTGCTTATCTGAAAGGCGCTTCTTTATTTAAGAGCAGCACTGCCCTCTCCTTACAGAACCAATCTTCATCTACTCTGACTCCTTTCATTCCTCTCTTGCAAGAAAAGCTTTCTTCTTAGTAAGCCTTGGGAGGGCGTTATTACAACAGTGAAAAGACTGAAGATGGTGTTTGGAAATTTCATTAACTTACAGATAAATTCAGGCTTGTGGCATGTGACTTTAGTGCTTTTGTGTTTGAATATAAAAATCCCTAGTTGGGTTTTAACTTAACGGGGCAGCATTTGCAATGTTGGCAAATAAGGTGTTATGGGTAAAGACAGAAATTAAAAAGACTTCCAGATAAATTATTTGTTTCACTAAGGCAAAACTTGGTTAAAATTTTTTTCACTGAACACATATTGTAGCTGTGATAGGGTGGGAATGGGCCCCGTTTCCACATATTTCTACTAATCTTTATGTGGGAAAATGTGGTTGGACATGCCAGTGATGAATTTCTGAGCAACTCATAATTGGCTGGCTTCACTGTAACTAGGGCCTAACAATCTGCTTGATTAATTCTTTAAGGACTACATTAGCCAAGTTGCATGATTTCCAAAGATATAGAAGGTCAGATGTTACACTAACAAAAGACCTCTCTACAGAATGTCTCACTGGGATTTCTTCAGTCCCTTCCCCAAAATAATTAACATTTCTCTCCCTAAAGTACATTTTAAAAAGTAATAAGCAGATATAAATGCCAAGTGTCTTTTACTGAATAGTAACGAGAACTTTTGAGAAGGTTTGTCCATTATTATAATTTTTTCCAGGACAAAGATTGTCTTTATAACTAGAGGAGTAGATAGACAATTATAACCATGTATTGATATACATCAGTTTAAAGGTTCCTAATTTTCTGTTGTCATAACCAGTGACATGAAATCTGTCTACAGGTGAAAGGTTTTTTATATTCTTCATCTGACTTTACTAAAACCCTAAGAGAGTTGCATTCTAAATACCTAGGGCCCCATTCAGAAATTAAACTGAAATTAAAATGTTTCTTCACTTTGAAAATGAATTATTTTCAAGAACTAATACAGTTTTAAAAACGTTTTGAATTGTAACTAAACATAAATTCTGGGAAAATACTCTTCTATAACATGCTGTTTCCATAGTAATATATATGAGGTATTTCCCAGAGAATATCCTGATAACAAAGTAAATCTATTGTAATAGGTCAAAAATTTTAAATGTTTACACTTTTGTTCCACTGTTGGTACCACGAAAGTCTTTATTTGGGCAGTCTGGCATATTCCAATTTTGATTTTCTTAATTAACTGGGATATTTGTAGCAAGAGAAAAGTTGTTCTCCTCTTTTTACAAGGGTAATACTTATACTTCATCCTCATTGTTCTCCTTCAAAAATAACCAGAATGAGAAATTTATGGAATTGCTAATGTTCTTCTTCATCCAAATTTTCTGGGTACTGAACTCTTCAAAGACAAAAGAGAAAGAATAAAAGTTAGGGCAATGTACTTTTTAATGCATGTC